GGGGGGCAAAAAAAGAAAATATTACAGGGTTTTTTACCGGTTCTTTAAAACGGGGCTCTTTTGGGCTATTTATTTATTTTTTTTACATTTTATTTTTTAATCTTAACAAAAATATTGACTTTAAAAAAAAAATGCTTCCCCCCCCCCCCCCCCCCCCACCCCCGAACATAAAATAAAAATATACAAAACAAAAAACTAGCGGTAAGCTTTAGCACTAAATTTGGTTTACGGTTTCTTTGTTCAGCTTAACTGATGTCTGCACAGTGAAATCCTTCTGTAGATGAGCATATTCAAATGATATTTGCTAAGCTCTGTCTGTTTAACAGGTTGTATATTATAACTGCCTGTGCATGATCTCTTAATTTTCAGTTTGTGAATCAGATATGACGTCAGAGTAAACAATTTATAAGCAAGGTGGTTGCCTACATACTTAGTTTTCGGTGCTACTTTGACATTCTTTACCAAGTGATCTATTTTATTGTTACCATAGCGACAGACAACGATAAGCACCCTCTCCTGTTCAAAAAAGTTTTGTTATTCCTACAAGATTTTGTATTTTCTGAGAACTTCTCAGAGTTGATTATAGGAATTAAGGATGGGCTCAAGAACCTCGGACCATCACTAATGTAAATTTCAATTAAGTATGTAGCTATTTCTGGCCACTAACTCTTCGTGATCTTGCGCGTTTGCTGAAAAGCCACTTGTGAATGAATGACAATGATTAGTTTGGAACCGTTACAAAATCAAAATAACTTGAAGTGTTTATTCCGTTTATGAAAGGAGTAAAACAGACGTTCATCTCTCTCTCGATTAAGAATAGTATAACATGGTCATCAGCGAAAGGAACTGTCAATGACCTCTTAGAACTAAAGGTAACTTTGTACCTCTTTGGCTATCTTCTACGTCGTTCTCTAGTGGCCTATTGGTTATTATTAGTGCCTATTGGTTATTAGGAGGCTAACAAAGAAGAAATTTATCTCTGCTCATTTCAGCTAACTACTGATTTGTCAACCCTCCGTACCGCCCTAGAATATAAATGCCTTTCAAAATTGAATTTTCCGGCTTATAATCCCACAAAAAATGTGATCACCTTCAAAATGCATGTGAGTTGTTTCAACTGTTCAGGCAATTTACTTGAGGAAACGGTGCGGTCAAAGGCAGGCAAAAAGGTCGAATGCTTATTCAGAGAAGTCAACTGGGTGAATGCCCGATTTGTTCATGAAAACACGACGCATTTGTTCGGGTAAGAATATAATTGAAGTTTTTCGGTTATAATCTACTGCTAGATGGATCGAGAGCCGATAATTGGAAAAAGTTACTAAGATGGACAACAGACAATTGTAGGTTAGTAACATTGCTGTCTTATCGCTAACTTTTAAGTCTGGGAACTTTGATGGCAAAAATTATTTCGAAAGGTCGAACCTCTCCTTAAAAGGACTTCCTTCCAACTTTCAATTACGGACAGCTCTCTTGGTTCCAAAGATGTCTGCGTCATACATTTCCCACCTCTGTGATAGGGATACCTAAATTATGCGGGTACTTAGCCACGGTATCGTTTTAAAGGAGGTTTAATTGGAAAATTAAACGAGACTTACCTGTAAGTTGAAGTTTGATTGAGATTCTATCACATGACCAAGGAGGCAGGAGATCACATTCATTTATTCTGATGGGATCTCCTAGCCTCCGGTCATGTGATAGAATTGTTAATAGCTCGACTAACCTTTGAGTCTGGACGAAATCCAGTGGTCTGTGTGACCATTCAAATGAAACCTCTTTTAGTAGAATTGTCAAAGGGTGCTATTTATCTCAGTAGTAACTTTGTGTAGTTCTAACTTTTGACTCTCTGAATGAAATCCTATGGTGTGACCATTCAAATGATACCTCTTCAGCAGTATATTCACATGGTACTATATTGATATAGATGTATTTCTAACTTTTCAGTCTGTAAACGAAATCTATAAAGTAGTCATTTTAATAACCTGTCTTTTAAGTGGCGTCGTGCTTACCTTGTCCTCAGTATAAATTGTTTACTTCCTCATTTTCCACAATTTTCTTCAGTTTTTACTGTTGCTTGCTTGTTCATGACAGTCATATTGGAATGAGATTTAGCCTGGTTGATTTGAAAATTTCAGCATTATCGGAGTTTAAAAGTCATTTTTTTATGCGAAAGAAATTCTTGCCTGTAAATGTCTCAAGTATTACTAAAATATTCATACTCTTCGGCATCTTATAAAATAAAAGCGCGGAAGCATCTGAGAAGCCTTAAAATGTTGGACAAAGTATAGTAGATTAATCAATCGGCCAGTCGCCCAAATTGCTCAAATTGACCAACTCTTTCAACATTTAAATTTAATTTGTGCATACGGTGATACCTTCTATGGGTTAAGTCGTATGCGTGAATGAGAAAAATGTAAACAATGACGTCAGCACAGTTTGCCCCCTTTTTCCGACTCTGATCCTTGGTCGTTCAACTATTGTTTTCATTACAATATTGATAGGAGGTAAAATCAAATGTGTTCGTGCTTTGGTCTTACCCTTAAAGAATGCTCAGCAGTTATTCAGAGAAATTTTCTGAAATGTCTTGAATGGGAAGTGATACCAACCAAGGTTGTAACTTGACCTGGTACCGAATGTATATTGATGATTACTACTCTTAAAACGACTGTTCTTGAGTTGCTTTCAAACACTAGCGCTTCATTCAGTACTCAAGCGTTTGGACCTCTTTGTATAGAAGCAAATAGAACAAAACCGCCAGTCTAAATTGCAACTCAAGGGCTTTAATTTATTTAAATGCCTTGTCACACATTTAATGAGGATTTCATCGACGACTCAAAAAGTTTAAAAAGGTCAGATCTGGGCGAGTGCCAAATAGAATCGTACTACCAATGTCCTAATGCCTCTTGAACCTGGCTTTAGCCGGAGTAAAACCCATACTTATCAGCTTTTACGTGCATTTTCACTAGAAATACGAGATAACTTCTTTTAGGGTTCCGCTAAATCCTGGGATTAATGTAATCGCTCTTGAAGAAGCGCAATTTCCTCGTGTGCGAGCATGATTTAATCTTTCTCAAGAGGGATTTGTTTTTCACTTTTGAAACCTTTTGCGTCAAAACGAATTGTTTCCATTTAATAAAATGCGCCTACAAGTACCTATTTCCTTCACTAATAATTTATACTCTTTCACGCAAATTTTTCAAAGCAAAAAGTAACAAAATGATACTGATAAACTGAAAACAAAAATTTTGAATTATTATTCATTCAAAACGTTTCTTCGGAAATGCCCAGGAACGTCGGACAAACCAACGATGGTCGGGATGAAAGCACAAACAACTCTACCGTGCTTGATGACATGATGACGTCATACACCACATCTCATGTTCTGATTGGTTTTTGTGTTAGCTCTTCCTTACCTTACACTGTCACATCAGTAGAGATTATTTTCTCCTGTACATGTACAATACCTCGTGCATACGCTCTAAAATACTGCCGCATCGTCACTCTCGCGTCTTCGCTCGGCTGAATTGTTATAAGCAACTGAACTTTTGGATCTGCCGCTTGCAGGCTTTTTTCTGTCTAACATCCATCTAGCAATATGTTTTGCGTATTCTTGCATTTCTTCCTTTCAGTTTTAGTCAGAAACTCAGCTTTTTCGTCTCTGGATCGCCATGGACGCCATTTTTTTTTTTTTAGTTCACTTGTAAATGTAAAGCTAGTCGATCGGCCGCGCCTGCCTGGAAACGAGGTTGATCGATGCCTCGTTTCCAATCAAGTATACCATTGCATCTATGGTATATTGCTCACAGCTTCCAAATATGGTCAGCGCCGATTGCTTATGAAGAATTCGACGGAGCCTTTTAGCCAATCAGAAAGAGCGAAATATTTTGAATGAATTATAATGACAATTATGGCTCCCCGTGACGTGCGGATGAAATAAAACGAATCCTCTTCTCTGATGGGTTACTCGAGCGAGTTAGAATCGGTATAATAGAAGCCCGTAAAAACTAATGCGTGTTGGTCCGTTTGAACTTATACGTAGTTTTCTGGCTTGGCTTGACCTGGTTCTGAACTATATGGTTCCCAGAGCCTATGCCTCTTGGTGGCTCCAATGTACATAAATCCACTGAAAACTGACGACTTAATTTTCTTCATAGACTTTTCTTGGGAATAAAATTTAAATTTCGTTGCCATTATATATCTCCTTTTTAATTTCTTTGGTTGGGGCTTCGGCATATATCTTTGAATCCGGTCGACAGGTCATTTTTTGTTGTCATCATGTTTCCAGGTATTTATAAAAGTTACAATTTTAAACAAGTAAGTCTTTTTGTTTCTCACTGGCGGAAATAAGCTATCATATGCTCACTTTGAAATTCACTGCTTTGTCCGCACAACAGCAATTCCTCTGCAAAACAGGGCTTTCCTAACAAGGGCCTAGACTGCCTAACAAGATCTTAAGCCATTTGATCACTTTAAAGACAAGTATTCTCAGCTTACCTGGAGAAATTTGAAGATATATCGAGCATGGCATTCGTACTTCTTTTGGCCACACGCCATGCGTTCATTTCCGCTATTCGGTCCCTGAATATAATAAGGCCAGTTTTCATTTTATAAGGGCTGGGTGGGAAGGGAATGCTATATCTTTTTTATTTTCTCTAACCCCTTCCCTGCCCCCTCAAACCACAATACTCTTCTTTCCCAACGTTACACAGCGATGGCTATTTCTTCTTTAAAAGAATGAATTAACTGTTTAAATTGATGAGGTAGTTTTTCAATGAATCTTAGTACAGTCCAACATTTCCTATTTTTGGTAGCGGGAACGTATTGATAAAAAAAGAGAAAATATGCATACGTGAAAGTTCTAACTGTGACCCAACGCTTAACTATAGTCACGTGGAAAGTCATGTGATCTCAGTAAGTCGACTGGCCTTACTATTTAGGAACGTCAACATGTGAATGCTTGATATGATTAGGTTTTGGTTTGCCGCACTGTAAATTCAAAATGCTTGCTTAAGCCTCGAAGTTAAGTAGTGTCCTAATGGAGTAACCCATAGTTGTACAGTGCCTCTATAGGACTGCAATTTGTTTCTTAAATTTCAGTTTATATTGTCCGCTATGAGTCCCACAGTGGGACGAAATGATTTTTTTTTTTTTGACGGAGCTGTTCGGCCTCACCTGTTGCTGAAATGACTCTTTAAGAGTTTGAATCAGATTTTGTAACTATGTAGCTGAGAAACAGATCTTTACAATTTTTTTACCCCATCCAGTGATAACTCTTATAAGCGGATCGAGATCTCACGTTATAATTCGAGATAGGAAATTCTCGACTCATACTGTGTATCTCTCGTTCTAGATCTCTGTCTGTCTTTTTCTCGTTGAGCTTAGCTGGCCTGCAGCCTACTTTCTCTTTTTCTCTGTCTTTCTCTTGCTCTATATTCCAAATTTGTGAACATGACAATTCATGAATCTAAGCCAGGAGCTAAGCTTAATACGTTAGACAACACGGATACAGAAATAATTTCCACTTTCCGTTTTCGTCTTTATTGACTCTTTAGTTGTCTCTTGCGTTACAAGACGCGTGTGCGATTTCCCTCCAAAATAACCTCGAGTTTGATTTGGGTTGGTAGCCTGTGGTGCGGACAGATGGGTGCTCGGTCGGTGTACGGTCACGTGATTAACAAATTTTCTCGGATGGGTAGATTTACTTAGCTATGGTGTTGCGCTCGCGTGGAGCTCCGCTATAATAACCTCGAAATTATAATTATTAGCTTATGTCCTCAGCTCAGAGAAATATAAAAGAGTGGATTCAAGTGCAGTCATATAAGTGGTAAAGGAGGAACTTTGCACTCCAGTCCAAAGACTCACATTATCTTAAAACAAACAAGCCGGACTTTATTATTGTTTAAAAAATAATCTTGGGTGAGTCACAATGCAATTCACCATAGCTGATGTAGCTTCAGTTTAAGCTGCAATTCATTCTTCTAAATTTGGATCTGTAAATCGCTATCGGTGAAAATCTGGGCCCAGCGTGATACAGCATTGCAGGAAAACATCACATTCACGGACTAAAGAAAATCGCTTAGTTATTCAGATCCTGCGGCACTTTGGAGAAAATGAAAGAACCTTAATTAAAGCCTTATTTAGCCGCAATAAAGAGCTTGACGCTTCAAAAGAGGTCGAAGAAAATGCTCTTGCATCAGAGGGCAAATCAATAAGCGTGTCATGACCTCTCAGTGTGAAACGGGTGACTAAAATCAAAACATAGAACCCTCCAGAGCACAATCTACCCGCCAGAGAAAAAATGTATTGGATCAAGCAGCATTTTGGCGTGTAGGCCTACCGACCTCCTTTTAGCACTGCGAGCAAATCTTGGCCTGATGCCAGTGTAGAAATCGCTCTGACTTGCTCAGTGCGTAATACATGCGACTTTCACAGCTGCTCCAATTCCAAAAGACTTTCTTCGAGAGCATACTTTTTAAAATTTCGGTCTGCCAGTTCTGAGTCAGAATAATTCTTTCCCGCAGTTGTGTGCAAACAAAAACGAAATAAACAATATTGACTTACAGTTGATTAGCAGGCATCATTCTACTTCCCGTAAGCCGCACCAATCAGGAGCTCTGTTTGCCAGCGTACGGAGTTTCCCAAAAGAACAATGATATCGGCAGGCTTATTTTTTTTCTCCCCTCCCCTTCCCCCTTTCCTTCTTTCGCCCTAGCACCTACCCTAAGGGTTGCTATTTCTACCCAGTTCCTCCCCAAAGATGGCGGCTACAACAATACGAACATAAACAAGCTTTCGCCCTCCAAAAATACGCCTGCCGTCCGCAGGCTAAGAAATTTCATGCGTATATATAATGAGACCCCAATGAAATGAATACCTCTCTAAAATTTGCCTCATCATTTAAGTGGATTATAGTGTGATATCTGGGATATTAACTTTATTTACGTCAGTTCGCTTAAAAACACAAAACTGCAAAGAGGCTTATTTACAAAATTATCCGCCCATTAGAGGAAATGGCTGCTTCATCGAACACGGGATTTTGTAATATATAGGCTCCTGTCATGATAGGCAATAACGGTCACTTTGTTATGTGTTTACGGCGGCATATATAAACTGTTAGTAGCTCTATTTAAACTCATGCAAAATAGGATCAAAGGAATTAATCTGTAGAAATGTAAACCTGCATTTATTGAAAAAAAAAAAAAAAACTATATTAAGTTACGTCTTGAAAAGTGACTGAGGTATCTTTTCCATGATCTATTGCAAGAATATTGAGTGTCTGAGCAACTCCACTCTTTGAGGTACGTTTTAACATGTCTTCCAAAGTGGTTCACAATTTTTCAGTGTTTAATCTTTGTAGTGTAAACTTACCGACACGTTCAAAACCAAGGGAAGGCGGTTACAAACTTTCATTTGACCTTAAAGTGTTCTATTTTTTTGTTATTGTTATTCTTTGTTTTTTTTTTGTGTTTGGCTCGAAAGAAGAATCATAACATCATGTAACATCGTCCGGCGGCAGCCAGCCGCTGAACTAACGCGCCAGTATTGATCGCCTCAAGTTTTTGTCACCTAGCAAATAATGCTCTCTTCAAACGCTTCACTGAAGATTCAAGACTCAAGTGCAAGTTTGAAAGGGGGTCAACAAGTGTCGATCGTCTGATATGAAACCACTGAAATTGCTGCTTGGAGCATTGATCATCCAACATTTAAGCAAAGCATTCAAAAACATAGTTCTTACTTTATTTATTTATTTATTTATTTATTTTTAATCAGTGCTTGTATAAGAAACCATTTGGGTGGCTGCTTTAATCATTAGCGTACGATCAATCAGAATTTTTTGCTCTGTCAACTTTATCATGTTAGGTAAGAGGGCTAGCTAGGGATATAATATTGAGATATGATATTAAGGAGATCACCCTAACATGAGTGAGAACAGAAACGTGGCCAATACTGTTCCGGCAGTGTACAAGGGTCTTGAAAAAAGGAAGGAAAAGAATGACACAGGCCAACCAGAAATTAAAACTTAAATGGCATTCTAAGGAGATAAGTAATAGTCTTGTTTTATATTAGTTCATCGCCTTTTTCGCGAGGGTAGATAGATTGATAAATTGTCTGCGAGTCGTTATACTTTTGACATTTCAAACCCATGTGGCCTTAGGCTAGCTCAAATACAGCAAATGTTCGGCAGGAGATAATATATTTCCTCTTAAAGGAATTCAGTCATTGTTTAGAACAACAACCACAGGCAGCCCAAACCCACGTCACGGAAGGAAGTGTTGCCTAAGTTGCGACGTGACCTTTTCTTTACTGAGTCAAACATTATTTCACAGGGCGCCCACACAATCTGTTTAAGTGAGCATTCGGGAGTACACTACCCTTGGTAATTGCGTCCTTTGGTTCAGAGGTGGTTTTCTGTGCAGTTTTCAATATTTTAAAATACAGCGATATTCTTTAAATGGCTCCGGTGGTGCCGAGGATGAGACTTTTCTCCAGTAAATTGCATCGCTTAGAGTTCAAAACCGTGAATTTTGTAACAACGAAAAGATCACCGCATTTCCTTGAGGTATGTCTCAAATCTAAGCGGCTTATGCGATAACACTAAAACATCAGCAATGCTAATTATTGATTCAGTTTTCAAAAAGTTTAAGAACTCTTGTATACAGAGTTCTGACTTCAAAATCTAAGGATTAAATCGAACACAGAGATGTACGAGCCAGCTTCCTGAGTTGTTCTCTATATTTAGCTTCTTATTGTTCTAGATTTGGATAAGTAAGGGCGTTAACCGATTATCCTCAGGAAGGACAAAAACATAAACAAGTAAGAGTTTTTAACGCCGGCTTTGATTGCCAAGGTGAAGTCGGAAGTCATGTACTGCCGTACCAGGTAATTCTTAAACAAAACAGTTAGAACCCGGCACAGATCCGTAGTCTCCTATCACCAGAGGAAAAGTAGATTTTATCGCCTGTAAGCAACTTGTTGGAGTTGCGGATTTTTTATCAAACAGTCAAACGGTGACCACTCAAAAGAAGCAGAAAGGAAGAAAGCCACGTAAGTTTGTTTATTCAATTTATCTAGTATTTTAGGGTATATAAACATCACGTCATGTTTCCTTATACTTTTTGTTTGCTTATAAATACTAAAGGACGCTATTTCGGGCTATCTTTTATTTTCAACAAGCTAAAAAAAATTTCGCATCTGTTTATCTCGCAAATGATTGTCCAGTTTTTTTTTTTTATTTAACAGTACACTTAGGTATTGGACTGTTTCCTGTCGTCCGTTGCAACGGATGGCAGGGATGGACATGAATTGCCCAACCTTTTCAAGTTTCAATGCTATGCCTGCCTGTTATGGTTAGTGCTCTCTGATGAAATTTCTTTGATACCTTCTTAATTCATAACTCTACAGGAGAATTTTGTGAATGACTAAAGCCAGTAAGTAATGAATGTCAGCACAGAATTTCCCTAAAACAGCAATATTCTCATGTCATTCTGAGCCCCATTTGACAATTTGACTCTTAAAAACTCGAACTGGTCGTCTAAATGCTTTAGTAGAAGCCAACTATCAAACTACAGCTGTGCCTTCGAGTCCATAATTCTGGTTTGCAACCAGGTGACAAGGCAGCCATGCTTTTTCTCGAAGAGCTTCGAAGAATTTAAATAAAAAAAAGAGTTTAGTCCCCAAAAGAGAGAAATGATTTTTGTTACTTGAACACCAACATGGCCGCCGTGACGTCACTTGCAAACCAGCCATAGTTAACTAAATTTGTTCATCTTACCCGGATTAAAATGCTCATTCCGTATTTCGTGGCCGTTGAGTACTATTCTGGAAATAGCTCATTTATTTTCATCGCAAGAACGGCTTGTCAAAGAAGTTGCTATTGTTTTGTTTTTGTTCAAAACACCGGCTTACTCCTTTTAGTCACTATCGATCACGGAATATAGTGACTACTTCAGCAAATCATGTTGCAGAATTCGTGATAGTGTACCAAATGATTCTTTAGTGTTGTTTGATTGCCAGCTCAATGGGAGTTTTTAGCTGCATAACACAAAAAAATGAACTTTGATTCAATTATAAGCATTGTTTTTGAACCTTCGTTGGAACAAATTTAAATCTGTACTGTTTCCGTTTTTCTTTTATTTCAACTTCAGCAGGAGATTATACGGGTAAATGCGACTGATAGCCGATTGCAAAGATTATCATTTAACACCATCAAACTTAAGCCGCGGCATATTGAAAATGATTGGATCACCCATGCCTTTTAGTAAATTAGTTTATTTAAAGAATAACAATGTACAAAATCTGAAACAGAAAAATGAGCGACACTTAGAAGATCATCATACGTGCCGTTAAAAGTTACAACGATAAAATTTAACCAGGGAAGTATAAATATTACGGTTGGCCCGATCATTAACATGGCTCTACTGCGGTTTAGCATTGTTTGTCATCAAAGAGGCTCTGACTTGTTTGAAGATATTGTCAGTGGCAGATATATATCCAGGGTAGCCTCCCGCACAGACGTTTTTAAGAGGTTCGTCACGCGTTCCTGCTCTCCCAGGAGGATTATTGCGTGACGAACCAAAAGAACGTCTGCGCGAGAGGCTAGATCCAGGGAAGAGGCGCGAATTAAATCTCTCATCCGAGGTAAAATTATCTTTCGCAGGCCAAAGGACGAAATATTGAATCGCTTTGTCATTTGTTGTTGAAAATAACTTATTATGCTAATAAAGGCTCAAATCATGCGTTCTCAAAGACCACACAACGAGAGGTTTTAGCAACAAGTTCATAAGTACTCTGAGTAGCTAATGACGTCGTAACTGAATCAATAGACTCCTGCGGGAGTAACGTGCTTGCCCTTGGAAATTAAGCTTATGACTGACCTGACCGATTCATGCAGCGGGCATTCAAATAATTATAAGCTTTGACGTCATATGATCGACACGTAATTAACAAAAATCACTTAATGTAATTATGGCACGATAATTAAGATTTCATGTTTTTGCCGAGAAAGTGAATAGAGAACCGCCTAACTTTCGTCCGACTCTTCAAACTTGTCTAAACGCCGTTTGCACATTTGAAATGTCATAGAAAAGCCAAATGATATTGGAACCATAAAAATAGCAGTATTTGCTAAGTATGAATCTGTTTTATAAAAATGAGTATTGTTGTCTTTTATCTTCTTACCCCAGCCTGCTTCCGGGATTGTCTTTGATAAAGCAGTTAAAAAGAAAAAGACCCAAAACAAAACAAAACAAACAAACAAAAACAACAACAACAAAAACTATTACTGAACAAATTTCATTCAGCTTCTCTGACTTCTATAATTGACAGGTGAGGAGGAATAATGAGGCCTCTTCATTAATTATTCAATTTGTTTCTTCTCGAAAAATTTCGTTATTCCTTTATTCCAACCCATATCAGGAAATCATGCCATGAATCTATCTCCAACATTTTCGTTATTCGTTATTCCTATTTCTTTATTACACTTCAGCCCACGAACTTATAAGCCTTCTAATGGAAATAGCGAGTTTGCAACCACAAGAATCAAAGAATCATTAAGAATAAACAAGGAAACTGCAACGGGATATAACATCCCATCTGAAAACATGGTTCACCAGCGGGAATCGAACTTCTGTCGGTTCTCTGCCCATTGGGCGTTTTAGACCTGAAACCAATTTCAAACGGCAATTAACTTACAGACGTTATTTTTAGCAAGTGTATTGAGAAATCAACCTATCAAATTCCTGTTTTTTCAAACGCATTTTTCGGTTTGTTGGTTTTTTCTTCTTTAGTGGTTTAGCTAAAAATATCCATTAGAGGAATTTAAACTGCGCTTACGGCAATCGACCTTTTTCTTCTCTACTTCACCTTAATTTGTGATAAATCCGTATATGAAATGCTCTGTAAATAATGGCTAGTCTACTGAAAGCTTTAGAAAATTCGCGAAAAGAAAAGATACAAAAAAATACACCCTTTATTTCTTAACCATAGTAACAAAAGTCGAAGGGTGGCTAGAATTTTCTTGAATACTTGTAATGAGGCGTAAAAAGGGACCCAGTATAAGGTATTCTTATATATCGTGATCCTTAATTACTATACGCCTTCCAATCCTTTGTTGCCATTGTCAGTGATTAATGAGTTGTTTTCTTACTTATTTTTTATCTTTAAGGGCTCCACTGTCATCAAAGCAACTAAAAACAGTAGAGACTGGTATTTTGAGAAAAAGACTTTAAGAAATGAAATTCGCCCTAATTTTTCCCGTCCTATTTATTGCTGTTGTGCAAAGCATTTCTGCACGAAAAGGAACGACTCGTAGAAGGTGAGAAATTTTTGCCTTATTAGTAGCGAGATGAACAGTTTACTCAACAAATTGTCATTCTCATATGTGCGTGTTGGTAGTGTATTGATCAATCGTGTCGTGATAGCAATGTTCCGATTACTTATTTGGTGCAAAAGGTATAGTCTGAGGTAGCGATTCCCATGAGATCAGTCTCTAATTTTTAATCCTTTTTTAGGTCAGGCGAGCAAATTTCACTATTTACCCATGCACAAAAAAGGCAAATCAGCGAAGAATTTTTATTGCAAAAAAAAAGGCTTTGTACGTGGTGACTAGACTGTGAGCAGTCTTGTGTTTTTCTCTTGATTCACAGTTCGAAAGCACCCGTGAGGAGCGAGCGGCGAAGCCGCGAGGAACGAGGGCGGTTTCACTCGCCGTTCGTGGCTCTGTTGAAAGAAGGACAACCGCTCACCGTCTATGTCGTGACATTTGCTCGTCTGATGTGGCCATGCGTAAGGGCTTACAAAAAAAATTATTGAAAAATATAACCTCGTAAAATTAACGAGCTGTTGAGGAGCATTAATGAAGAAACGTAGAAAAACAACCTAGATCTAGGGGAGAAATGTAAAGGGCATTGCACAGCTGAATCACTGTTCTTGTTAGTTGAGTAGAAATTACATTTATACGGTTTAGATATGGTCATCCGAGAGTTTCCCTCGACGAAAAAAAATTGCAAACCACTCTAAAAATTGTTTTAGAGGGGCTTGCAATTCTGTTTAGCTGATCTTTGTCTCTCTTTGTGGCTTATCCCCACAGCTAAAGCGGCCGGCAAGTTTATGCGTTCATATCACCTTGGAAACTCCTTTATCCTACCTTCGTGACATAATGGAAATAGGCGTTTTATAAGAGTTGGTCACCAAACCTAACAAAAACTTTTATACAGAGGAAATTGAAAAAGCACATTTTAATGGGCCATTTATGAGTTCCCTGCAGCCTCTTTTTCAAAGCGAGGCTTAGTGCGAAGCTATTGAAATGAAAATGACTTTTATTCTCATACAAATAAAACTCATCTTTGCAAGTCTCGTTTTGAAAGTGAGACTTTTTGGAACTCGGAAATGGCCTATTAGTAAGAATCACATTCACAAGTACAATATAATGTCGTCCAACGGCGAGATTTAGTTTAGGTTATTACCCTATAAAGGAACAGACAGGAAAGCGCCTTGTCTATCCCTTGGGATATGTGAGTTTCACCAAAGTTATTTTTAAACCAAATTAATGTCCTGAATTAACTAAAATTAATCGGAAGTTGGTTACTGCAGAGGCCCGCAAACGTTTAGTCATTTTTGTCAAGAGAGAATTCAACAGTCATCATTCCAATATTCTGCATTGTTTGCCTTGACACAGTCGCGTGTGGACTTGGTGTCGTTTCAAACAATCGACTAAAATGTGAAATCAGACTTACAACCTCTTAAAATAACTTTATGAAATTCACATAACCCTGCAAACGCCCTAAGTTTCCCTTTATCTGCCATCATCCCCTCTTGGCTTAACAAATTAATAATGAGAAGGTTTTGTATGCATGGTGTCACAAGGCCTTGCCAACCATTTAAATTTCTTAAGAAAGGGTCGGGCGCGGTGTTGCCGAGAGAAACATGAAGAGATTAAAAGAATTAATGGCAAGAACTGTTCTTTCCGAACAAATCTTTTTAGTTTCTTTGGCTGTATCAGTCGCTACTTGTGACATAACCGGAAATCGACAAATCTTATTGTCTTTTATATGCTCTTTGGAAACAGAGAATACCAAGTCTACTTTGTTTTTCTCTTAATCGTTGCTTGTTCGAGGCTGGGAGCTTATTAACTTTTCCTGCCTACAGGCTGGCCGGTTATTTGAGGTGGGTGCCTATTCCAGGTTAGGCGCTTAATCGAATAAATACGGTATTTGATCGATTACCTCACTTTCTAATAGGTTTATCTCTGTAAATGACACTATTAAGTTGTGAAGTGCAACCTATATTTAATAAGGATTTGGTGAATTTTATCTTCTTTTAGCAGAAACAGTGGAGGATTGCCCCTTAACGGAGCTAGACAAAAGGTATGTATTTTTTTTTTTACTCGCAGGACTAATGATTAATCTTTTTATCTGAGTTTGTATCCCTTCCTACTTCTGGTTTTAAATTCTTGAAAAGCGAGACATAACCGATTATCTTTTACCAAAACAACACAACACAACAAAAAGACAAAAAAACAACAGGAGCCTGCAATTTGGTTCTTAAAGTGCTGATACGATCAAATTATTGATTGGTAGTTGCGTACTTTAAGTACATGGTGTACCAATTATAGCTTCATACGACGATGGAAAGTGTGATTGTTTCGTCCTCAAATGCCGTTTATTTTCGCCGCCATTAAACGCCACGTTCCTGCGGCCTGGATACCAAGAATAGGCGACAAAAACTTAGTAACGTCATTTGACTATTTTGTACCTTGCTCAAACTATGTTGAAAGAGATACCATGTTTCGTAAGATTTGTCTCAAACATGACAAAAAAGTACCATAACTTTCGGTTGCAAAAGATTATTAAGTATTACTAAAAACTGCTAATTAAAAATACTCTGTTAACATTAAGAATACAGAAATACTGCCCACACCATTCATTCTGTATTCCTTTTCATTCGGCCCACCCAATGACTTTAACAACAGCAACAACAACAACAACAACAACTTCATTTCAGTATTCCCACGTGAGTACATGGTATTGCCTACATTAATTATGTTATAAATCTTAACTCAAAATAAAGGCTATAATTAAAGAACAAGTTTTTGGCCCATAAAGTCAGGGGCCACGCATTGACACGGTTTGTCTATTTTGCCTTCCGGGGTGGGGTTCAAAATGGAACAAACCGTCAAAAATCCGCGTTCAAACCATCTCCTAATCTCCTAGAAAGGCGAGAGACTTGCCAGCTTTATAGGAACTACATATTTATTTATTCATTTATATCATTGATTGATTGATTGATTGATTGATTGATTTAAAATCTCTGAAAGCGTCTGTGTTCAAATATTCAAATAGAGGTTCTAGAAGACATATATTACTGAGAATTCTTCGGAATCAAATAAAATGGGACCGCGGCCCCCTCGCCCTCTCTAAGGCCGCCAATGGGGTCAAACTTGTGTATACATACGATTTTCTTGTCTGAAAAAGCAGCAATACAAACGCCTACGGCTTAAACCCAAACCTCTTACGCGGTAACCACTCCATTCGACCCCATGCATCAATTTGAGATAATCAGATATATTGGAAGCTTCTCTTCTTTTTTATCAGGCTTATCCAGTTTTACTCAGTATTGTGAGAGAGGGAGGATTCAGAGGGCTAGAAGAATGCAAGAAACAATTCAAAAACGAGATTTGGAACTGTTCTCTGGATCAGAGTAAACAGGACGTATTTTCACATCTACCCATATTTGTTAAAACAACGCTTCCATATGGTAAGGTTATAGCAAGTTAGAGCCAATAAAATGAGCTGATTTTTTTTTAGCGAAGCAACGTGTATAGATCGAGTTTCTTTAATTTCCTCATTCGGGATTGTCGTTTCTCGTTCTTCAGGATAACTTGTGTGGTTTCTCTTAATAGTCTTTCACATGAAAAGCTTCAGTATTTCTTGACTAACACAACCAAACTTCTTTATGATTGCTTGTAATGGCCTTTTTGACTGCTGATTGCCGTCTCACGGACCATGTCACTTAGCTCTTGTTAAAGAGATGATAAACTTCTTTTGTGTAATCCCCCAAATCTTAACACGCGTGGAAAGATGGCGGGTAGAACAACGTCTATTGGTACCATTTTCTGTTGCAGCCACTCGTGAGACAGCTCTTTTACATGCCATAAGCAACGCTGCCATCACACACGAGGTCACGCTTCAGTGCCGGCAAAACAAAATACCCGGATGTCATTGCGTTGAAAAGAACAAGCACAACAGTGGTAATGGAGAGTGGCAGTGGGGAGGATGTGGGGATAACATTTGGTTCGGTGAGAACACAACGAAAAGCTTTATCGATGTTTTGGAACCGCAGGAAGAAAGCGCCCGTAGGGCAGTTAATCTGCACAACAATGAAATAGGAAGACGGGTAAATATCTTGCCATCTTACTTTTTACAGCCACGAGCAGTATATTTAGCAATTAATGAATTCGCCT